CTCTGCTAATTGAATTCAGCACTAATTAAGATGATGAGATGCGCTGCTGATAATGACCCGGCCCCAGAGGCTGGAGGTCTGCATGGTCAGCAGATGCTTTTCAGTCCCTTTAGACCGAATGAGCAAATCGTTCTGTTTGCACGAGTCTGACTAATAGAATCAGCGCGCTAATATTCACCTCAGCGTGACAGCGGCCCGCCGTTTCAGCCTCAATGAGGCCATTTCACATTCAGACGCTCAGAATAATGAAAGGCAATATCTAGGAAATCTAATTTTGTATAAATTGCAGCCTTTAGATGGAGAATAATAAGTAAAAATCTAAAGGGAAATTACGAAGCGAGGCTATTATAATGCAGAAAACCTCCTAGAAAGGTTTAAAGCGGTGATATTTCTCAATCTGGTCTGATTTAGTTCATTGTTCATGAGTGTTCTAGCAGCTTCTATCAAAATCTACTTGTAAAGCCTCGCAAGGCCACGTCAACACAATATGCGCTGCTGATAATGACCCGGCCCCAGAGGCTGGAGGTCTGCATGGTCAGCAGATGCTTTTCAGTCCCTTTAGACCGAATGAGCAAATCGTTCTGTTTGCACGAGTCTGACTAATAGAATCAGCGCGCTAATATTCACCTCAGCGTGACAGCGGCCCGCCGTTTCAGCCTCAATGAGGCCATTTCACATTCAGACGCTCAGAATAATGAAAGGCAATATCTAGGAAATCTAATTTTGTATAAATTGCAGCCTTTAGATGGAGAATAATAAGTAAAAATCTAAAGGGAAATTACGAAGCGAGGCTATTATAATGCAGACAACCTCCTAGAAAGGTTTAAAGCGGTGATATTTCTCAATCTGGTCTGATTTGGTTCATTGTTCATGAGTGTTCTAGCAGCTTCTATCAAAATCTACTTGTAAAGCCTCGCAAGGCCACGGCAACACAATTTCATAAATGCATTCGGAATGAAAAACATGCATATAAACATGGGACGAGACCTGGTTGAGCTGCACTAGAGAAGGCAACGAGGACACGCTAGCTTTCCCAAGGCAGACGAACTTAGAGTGGTTACAATCTTCCGGGTTAAAATCGCGCTCAAATTGATTTGATTTTGACGCAATATTTACACTGAAGCTCGCAGCCGGCGGCTATGGTAAGAGGCGTGACATTTCTCCCCCAGGCACCGAGTGCTGCCAATCACAACACACAC